TAAAATGTAGTTCATTGTTTGTGAGCTGAGTCTTGGAGAAAGCTGTTCTGTTGCAAATGTTACCCAAAAGAGAATATGCTCTCCAAAGCTGCTGCCCTAGGGACGCTTCTCTCCTTTTGTTTCTCTTGCTGAGGCGAGATTTTGAATGAGTGAAAAATCCGTGTTCATGAGTGTAGTGATAAGAAAGACTAAAATTGGTCTTAGAACACAGACTTGAATTTTTGATGACTTCTTGAACTATTTGATTAATTAAAGCAACCTACACACAACAGAACTTCTGACTGTAAGTTACTACTTGTTTTCTCTATTTATATGCATAGGGTCTTTTTTTTTTCTTCAAGTATTAAGACTATGATACTTTGGGTAAGATGGCTAGAGCTAATTTGTTGTTGTTGTTGTTGTGTGCCGTGGAGTTGGACCCGACTCATAGCGACCCCTCCTTGGGTTTCTGAGGCAGTATCATTTTTAGTTGTAGATATTTTCATTGCAGAATAGCATGTGGGGGAACATGTTTCCTTCCTTGGAGAGACAAGTTGAAATGGTAAATTAAGTGTACAAATACATACGTTATAAATAATACCTAATGTCTTGTCTTTTTTCTTGTTAACATCTCCATAGCCATATGATGTAAATTTACAAGTCACCTCGGTGTTGTCTAGACTCTCTCTCTTCCCCCATCCACACATACACGAGTACCTTTTGGATCCTTACGTGAACCTTGCTTCTGGCTGTAGATCTCTCTTCTCTGTCATCGTCCGGGTGAGTTACTGGTGGTGTTATATCCTCTAGGTTTTGAACCTGCCCAACTGACAATTTAAAAGCATTGTATATAGATAGTGTCACATAATGAAAAATATTTTATCTGCTGTTTAAAGTGTAATTATTATGTATTATGAGCTAATTTACAGAATGTGAAAAGGAAACATTTATTCTTCGAAAAGATACATAAGGAATAGGTGAGTCCTTAAGAAAAGACAGTTCTGTGAATAGTGACAATGGGTGTAATTTATTTAGTAACAGAGAATGAGATTTTCTTTATCCTGAAAATTCCAGTGTGGTTGATTTCAGATACTGAGTTCCTTTTGTCTCTGTGATACAGGTTGTTGGAGACCTTATGGTTCGAATCCAGCGTATTCAAGACTTTACTCCCAAACTTCTGTTGGTCAGGAAGCGATTACTTGGTTTGGAACCCGAAGGCCCTATGTAAGTCTGTTTTGACCCCGTGCCTCCCTCAGCACCGTGACGTGCTGTGTCTGGAACTGACGCGCTGTCTGCTTCTCCTTGGCCAGTGTCGACCACGTCACGTTGCTCGAGGGTGTGATCGTGCTGGAGGAGTTCTGCAAGGAGCTGGCGGCGATAGCGTTTGTGAAGTACCACGCTTCCTCCACGCCCTGAGCAGCGTCCTTCAGGTGAGACGGACAGACCGCTGTGCACTTTTCTTCAAGAAAGACTCCACTCCCCCAGCCAAGGGAGGATAGAGGTTCCTTGTCAATGAAGCTTTGCTGGAAACTGGACAAAACTATTAAGAACCTACTGAATAGACACTCTCGGTGAAATGTTGTATGATGTTTTCATTGGCTTTATCATAATGGTTCTGTCTGTAAAATTGCACGTCGTTGAATCCAGGACACAATCAAAGGAGTTTCAGAAAATAAGCATTTCTAATGACTGTGTGAAAAGCTGCAAACTTTCTAAAGTCCTGACTTTGATATTTCTGTTATTTTAATATCCAGTAAGGTAGCGAGGCCTTTGACATTCTCTGGGACTCAAACGCTTGTATTTGTCTAGATTAATGAATAGCAAACCATGTCACTAATTTTATAACTTTTTAAAGTCAGGATTCTTATCAAACAGAATGTGAAAAGCAGTTGTAAATTAGGAAAAGATGACAGCTTAGGAACCATCAGATGAAATGAGTTGATTATAGGAGTTGCTAACCCCAGACAAGGCCATGCAGGGCATCACTCACTCACTTCAGCTTTTCTAAGAAGAACAATTTAATATGATAAAGAAGTTGTTGATGACTATGATATAGATATATTTTTAAAAAAACATTCTTTTACTCTTTTGTGCACCTAGCCATGTTAGTGACTGATATTCCTGTGTGGCCCCCAGTTTATTTAAACTGTCATTTTTACAACAGTGTTGGAATTTGCTCATCATAATATGCTTAGTATCAACAGTAGTATTTGCTAAAATACCCAAACCCACCATTGTCATCGAGTTGATTTCAACTCATAACAAGCCTGTAAGGACAGAGGAGAACTGCCCCGGAAGGTTTCCAAGGCTGCAGATCCTTTTGGAAGCAGACTGCCACATCTTTCTCCAACAGAGTGGCTGCTGGTTCAAACTGCTGACATTGTGGTTCACAGCCTAGTTTCACCACTGTGCCACCAGGGCTCCTTTTTACTAAAATAGTATTTGTTTTTTTAGCTAATCAGCATGTATTGGGTTGACGACGTTTGTTTCTCTCTTCTCTGAAAATTGCTTTATAATTTGGTTTTCTTATTGAAACCCACAGCAGTGTCTAAGCAGGGACTGGCTGAGAACGTAGGGAGTAGTCAGTGCCAGTGGCCTCCATGTTTACATTTTCCCCATTGTGCTCAGTCATTTGTTTTAAATGATCCTAAAAGAAAAAACAAGTCTTTTAAATGTCCTGTTTACATGGTAAAAGATTTTGGTAAATGGGGTATGTCTGTGAATGGGTACACATGGGGGAACATGTGGGGATGTCTGTGAGTGGGTACACATGTGGGAATATGTGGAGATGTCTGTGAGTGGGTACACCTGTGGGAACATGTGGGGATGTACGCGAGCGGTATATGTGGGAATGTGTGGAATGTATGTGAGTGGGTACACCTGTGGGAATGTGTGGGGATGCCTGTGAGTGGGTACATGTGGGAATGTGTGGAGATGCCTGTGAGTGGGTACATGTATAGGAACGTGTGGGGATGTATGTGAGTGGGTAGACGTGGGAATGTATGGGGATATATGTGAATGGGTACACGTTGGGAATATGGGGGAATGTTTGTGAGCGGGTACACATGTAGGAACTTGTGGGGATGCCCATGAATGGGTACACATGTGGGAATGTGTGGGGATGTATGTGAGTGGGTACACACGTCGGAATGTGTGGGAATGTATGTGAGCAGGTACACATGTAGGAACGTGTGGGGATGCCCGTGAATGATACACGTGTGGGAACATGTGGGATGTGTGTGAGTGGGTACACATGTGGGAATGTGTGGGATGTATGTGAGTGGGTACACATGAGCATGCTTATGAATGGGTACACATGTGGGAACGCGTGGGGATGCCCGTGAACGGGTACACGTGTGGAAACACGTGGGTAGTTTGGCAGAGCTGTGCTGGGCACAGCCTTCTTGACCCTGATTTACAGAATGGTGTTTGCTAGTTCATTTTGTTTCTTTATTTAAGTGCTGGTGTCACTCAGGTCCTGCTCATAAGCTGTCCTTTGAAGCTGGTATGTTGAGCGGCAGCACTTTCCTCCCCATCTTTCCATGACTGATATTTGGGGAGCAGACTACCCACTTTCCATCTTGAAAGGACAGGTTGCTGTCCATGTCAAGGTTGCTTTCTGTAGCGTGTTTGCATGTATACATCACACACATGTGCATACAAGCATGGTTTACATCTGTCTGTTGATTCTATTGTATTGATTTTTCTGATTTTATAGTTTTTGCTATTTATTAAGAACAAAATATCAAAAGATTATGAATATTCTCCGCTCCAGAATGCTGACCACTGTTTAAGCAGCAACAGCAAGACTGCATTTTAAATTTAATGCACATCTTTGTCCGCATAGTCTAAGAAATGTGTTAAGCAAGACAATGAAAAATCAAAAGCAGAAGATAGTTACTCCACACCTGATTTTCTTTCGATGGTTGTATAACGGTGGAAAAGCGTCACTCACTTTGTTGTGTTTATTGATCAGTTCCTTCAAGGAGCACCACAGCATCTCCAGCTTCAGAGGTCACAGTAGTCGGTTCTGATGTAGGTGTATTTAAAGTAAGGCATCAAGAGATACTAGATATTTCTTAATGTTGTCCCATAGTGCTCAGTGGGTGTCATAGCAATGATGTGACTCTCAAACCAAAAACACATTTCATCCTTGATTTCACAGTGGGACCTTCTAGCTAAACCATGAAACTAAGCCCGGAAAAGCTTTAACTCTTGTATTTTTGTGTGTGTGCTGCTTCTGAAACCATAATTGTCCTAAATTATTGTAATGACTTTGCTTTGTAATCAGCTAAAGCTTAAAGTATAATTTTTTTCTTAGATATTTCTCTTATGAAGAGTTTCTATGGCTTTTTTCCCTCCTTATGTAGTTCAGACCTAGAGCCAAGATGTGTGTGTGAGACAAGATCTCACAGTGAATTGGATTTGTTAAGGAAATGCTACATCATTAGTAACTTTCTTAACCTTCTCTCGGAAGCTCAATGTTTCTGTGACTCAGTACTTGGAAAACCATGACTAAAATGTGCTGTGTTGGGTAGAAAGGATCACCTCAACAATTAATTATTATAACAATTTCTAATCAGAACTTAGCTTTGCTTCACATTTGTATATAGGGATGCACTTTAAAAAAAAAAAATTATCTCTAACAGTCTTTGGGTTTATTTTCAGTAATGAGCCACATTCTTTACTTGATAGAAAGCAGATTTATCTTAGCCAATTATCATTGTAGTACTCACATCCTAACTATGTAATGTTCTCACAGTGTATCGTCTGTGCAATATGGAAGCTGTGAGTGGATTCATAGCTTTCTGGGGGTTTTGTACATTATTGAATGTGTACATATATGTGTATAAATACAAGGACCAAAATCCTTAGCTTGCTTACACTGTTGCTAGTGTAAACATTGTTACACTTCATTTTACGGGGCACAAAGTATAAAATTGCTTCATCGATTCATGGTAACATATTTCCATAAATTATTGCATTACTTTACCATTTGATTATCAAGTTCATAGGTAATGGAGTCACAGTGAAGTACGAAAACTACAGATTATATGGAGGTTTGGGTTGTACAGTAAATCGAAATATGCATGTCATAATAACACTTGATGTTAAAACATGATAGATGATCACATTTCTGGGCCCCGTAAAATAGTGTTACTGTAATACTCTGTTCTGCCTCCTGCCTTGTTTACATTAAACAGAGGCTGTTTGGTAGACCTTCCTGTTGAACATTGTGTAGGTTACTGACAGCGTTACCAAGGTCTGGCGTTCTTGGGCCATCATGAAGACACTTCAAATGATGATTGTGTACCTACCCTCACTTCCTCAAAGGAGGCTGTGATCAAGTTCAACTTTTTGTGCTAACAATGCATGCAGGACTAAGAGGGATAATCTAAGAATAAATAATGTAATTTAAACAAAATGTCTTCTTATACTTTTGTAGAACTCAAATTGGAAACATTTTATCCACTGATAAATCTTAAAACAGAATTCTCATCTCTTTTTTCCCCACGCCCAGCACACATAGGTGTATGGCACCCTCCAACCAATGAGTCACTGCAGCGTTGGTTCGAGATAGAGAACTGGAAGGAATGTATCAGGATATTTGTGGAGGGGGTTGTGTGGATTGGAACATTCTCCCGGATGACACTCCTAAATACCCCCACACACCACACCTTGATAATCAGCACCCTGAGGGAGGAAAGTTCAGGCTGGGTTAGAAAACCAAGCCATTCTCAGTACTGTTTCTTCATACTTTTCTAACACGGAGAACTTTTCTTTCTGACATTTAAAGCTGTTAGATCTTAGGCTTTTTCTCTTCACATGAGTATTTGCCAGTGTCCCTTATTTGGAAAGGAGCTCTGGTAGCATAGTGCCTAAGGCACTTGACTGCTAACCAGAAGGCTGGCGGTTCAAACCCACCAGCCACTCCTCGGAAGGAAGGTTGGGCATTCCTTCTTCAGTAGTGATACTGCCTCGGAAACCCAAGGAGGGGTCGCTATGAGTCGGGGCCGACTCGATGGCAAATAACAACAACAACTTATTTGGAAACTGAAAGGAACGTGTAACAATAGATGGCACAACCAGAAAGAAAACTCCAGTTCCCTGCTACCCAGAGAGTCTTTACAGCTAGTGTTACTCAAAATAGCTTTAGAAGGAGATGAAGAGAGTGACAGGTTGAAAGGATGCTGGGAGGTAGGGCATTGAAGAGCTGAAATGATCCTTCCTGCCCTGAGTCAAAAGCATACTGCTTTCTAAGGATGCAAAACTGGATCCCCAGCCCAAAACCTGGTTCAAAGTGCTGTTAAGAATTTTGCTGGGTTTCATCCGCAAAGACTAGCGATCCCAGCGGGTCCCATGGTTCCCAGAGTTGTGAGCGCACAGAGCAAAGGGAGTGTTGCAGCTCATTACAG